TAAATGGATCGCAGCAGACTTCACCAAAAATGTTGGTAAAATTATATAGATACTTTAATTTGTGATACCTACGTAAAAATATCGGTTACAGTTGCATCCAGTCGCCATTCTATTATTTCTTTTCCTCCTTAGTACAAGATTCAATCTTGGAAAATCGCGAAAAATATTTTTATCCGAAATCTGCCGAAAGTAGTCAACAATCGGCAGTAAAGTAAAAGAAATCGGCAGTAAAGTAGAACTTTATTTTTATAATAAAAATAAAGTTAATTTTATTAATTAGATTAAAAAATCGCCGCAGCGGGCAAATATATAATAACCGTCGTAACAAACAGTATACGTAGACACCATACGTTCAAACTAAATTTGATTTGATCATCAAATGATATTTGATTTAATAATCAATATTAATTATTGGTATTATAAAGTGTGATTTTGGATAAAATTTAATATGCACCTCGGCATTAAGGTCATTTTTTATCACTCACGTGGTTATTTGCCTCGGCTTTCGCCTCGGCAAATAATTACGACTTTACTGCCTTGATACATAAATAACTATTTATGGCATTTTTCATTAATTAATTTTCCAACGGAACAATCCATTTTTAGACACAATTTGACACTTTTAAATGGCAGAAATTGGTGTGTAGGTAAACTGTTTTTAGAAAATTATGCACAATTTAATAATTTATTATTTTAGTTTTTGTTTATTTACAAAAGGTAAAAAATTAGCATGTTTAGAGTAAGTAGGTTAGTTTTTATGAATATGTAAAAATTTCAATATCTTAAAAATATTTTAATTATTAAAACAAAATCTTAAAAATTGTGTCTTGCGAATTAGAACTCAATTCAAGTCTTCCTACCGAGTTTTTTTATAAAATATTTGTTTAATATAATATTATGGATTTTTATTAATATATTCCACATTATAATAATAAAATTAATAATATTATAATCCATATTATGGATTTAGTCAGGTGGGCATATTGTGTATTTTGCTTATAGCTGGGCTGAGATGATACAGCCACAGCCCACATAAAAGCAAAATACACAATAATTTTATTCATGGTTATTGGAGGCTAATAAGTGCATGTAATGATAAGCATAAATTGGTTTAAATCGACTAACTCAAACATAGCCTTTTTAAACCATGAAATGGCTGAAAATAGTGATTTTTCGAAAACATGAATTTTTATTATATTTTTTTGAACTCTTAGCCAATATTATTTGAAATTTTTTTTATTGCTTTTATATAGAGGTCTTTGGTAACAAACTCCATTAAAAAAATTTTGCTGGCAAGTTGTTCTAAGAATATATGAATTTATAAAATTAGACAATTTTGCCAAAAAATTGCATTTTTAAAAAATTCCCAAAGACCATTTAGGGCATCAATAACTAAATGTGTCCTATATGGTTTAAAGGAGAAATATTTTCTTAACAATTAACAGTTTGTTTAATGTCGATAGCTTTATTAGCAAAAGAAGTAAATTTTTTTAAAGTTAGGTCTGCACAGTAACTTTTGCATAGCCCTGTATAAATAGGTGAAAGGGGGAGAAAAGAAAAGGTGAGTTTTTTTTACTTCTTGGGTCCTTATCTATTTACAGTTAAAAAAGAAGAGTATATAAGGTGCACTCATTGGTGGCTAATAAATGGAATTACACTTACTTAATATTTTATCAACGATTTCTTAATTAGCTAAAAAAATTGTCAACACAAATAACCACAATTCAAATTTGACATTAACACACAATGCGCATGCGGATTGTTTTAAGGCACCTACAAGAGGTGGGTTAACTATGTAAAATCGGTGTTAAATATCTTAGTAGTCACGAACGATTTACGCAAGTGAAAGTCTAGACACCGCTGTTGTAATAAACGTTTTGAGTTAGATCCGAGTGAATCGAGTAAACGTCATGAACGCAACCAAGAAATAAAAAAAAATCTTATATTTTGTAAAGCAAAAACACAGATACGCGCGCGACATAGGCTTAAAATCGCGAGGTTTTTTACCACAACCGTGCCTGAGCGCCCAAGAACATGTAGTTTTAGAGAGCCGGGGGCGAGTTGGGGCAGATAATTTATTGAAGGCTTGATAGACAAAACTCTAAGCTATTCAACGGATCTTGAATTGATGCCTTACAATTTATTACAATTTTTGTAGCTCCATTGTGCTAAGAGCTAGATTCAAAGTTTGCGATTTTAACAGACCTATCTTGTCGATTACAATAACCCGTTGCAAAATCTACGAAAAACAAATACATATCTGAATTTTACATACCTTGAAGATCACCCTTCATCAATCCGCATAACAATCGGCACACCAAACACAATTTTCCACAGCGATCGCGGATAAAGTACCTTCAACTGAAAGCGTCAAGTTTAAACTGACGCACAAGACAAAATATACGTATTTTATATAATTTTTTTTAATACAGGATGGAGACAGGTATAAACTACCCATCTAACTCAAAATTTACCTGAAAAAAAAATGTCATTTTTTGAGTTTTTGCCGATATTTTCGAGAATTGAAACACTGTGCGGCTGGTAGATCCACCCTAGGATGTCGTGGATGACAGTGTCTATGCTTAAGGCCACTCCCGGATTTTTTTCAGCTGGGTCGGGCCATACGTCCAATTTAGGCTAGAGGTGTGCGGGATAAGGAGGGCTAGTGGTGGTTTTTGGACGACATTGAACTGACCCAAAACTATGTACAATCCGGAATCCTCCGCAACCTGGGTCTTAGTAATAACCCCATTCAATTGGGATTCATGAATGGGGGTCGGGGTGTTAGTACGCTGCTAAAACCTGTCCTTGTTGGTGAACTTCTAAACGTCTCCATCCTAGTCTGTTTCCGGTTCCTGGTAACCTATTTAGAATTGTTTGCCTCCCTGTGAGGTACTGAATCTTGTCTTTAGTACCGAAGTGTTGACGGCCACGACCCGCCGTAAGTGCCCTCTGTGGATATTCCTCATGCCGAGTACCGCCTACCGACCTTGTATATTCTTTATTTGTTTATACCGTTTACATTTAATTTATATCTTTGCATTCTTATTTTTTTTCCAAATTTAATTTAAAATATAAATATTAATGTACAAAATAGATAAAGCCGGCCCTGAAGTGTACGTAATACGGCCCTATGGCCACGACCCGCCGTATGTGTCCTCTGCCTTCGTGGATATTCAACCACTCAAGACCTTTTATATTCTTTATTTATTTTATTATTAAATTAGTGTTTATACCGTTTATTATTTAATTTATATCTTTGGATCTTGTGTTTGGTGTGCCGATCAATCCGCATAACAATCGGCACACCAAACACAATTTACCACAGCGATCGCGGATAAAGTACCTTCAACTGAAAGCGTCAAGTTTAAACTGACGCACAAGACAAAATATACGTATTTTATATAATTTTTTTTAATACAGGATGGAGACAGGTATAAACTACCCATCTAACTCAAAATTTACCTGAAAAAAAAATGTCATTTTTTGAGTTTTTGCCGATATTTTCGAGAATTGAAACACTGTGCGGCTGGTAGATCCACCCTAGGATGTCGTGGATGACAGTGTCTATGGCTAAGGCCACTCCCGGATTTTTTTCAGCTGGGTCGGGCCATACGTCCAATTTAGGCTAGAGGTGTGCGGGATAAGGAGGGCTAGTGGTGGTTTTTGGACGACATTGAACTGACCCAAAACTATGTACAATCCGGAATCCTCCGCAACCTGGGTCTTAGTAATAACCCCATTCAATTGGGATTCATGAATGGGGGTCGGGGTGTTAGTACGCTGCTAAAACCTGTCCTTGTTGGTGAACTTCTAAACGTCTCCATCCTAGTCTGTTTCCGGTTCCTGGTAACCTCTTTAGAATTGTTTGCCTCCCTGTGAGGTACTGAATCTTGTCTTTAGTACCGAAGTGTTGACGACCACGACCCGCCGTAAGTGCCCTCTGTGGATATTCCTCATGCCGAGTACCGCCTACCGACCTTGTATATTCTTTATTTGTTTATACCGTTTACATTTAATTTATATCTTTGCATTCTTATTTTTTTTCCAAATTTAATTTAAAATATAAATATTAATGTACAAAATAGATAAAGCCGGCCCTGAAGTGTACGTAATACGGCCCTATGGCCACGACCCGCCGTATGTGTCCTCTGCCTTTGTGGATATTCAACCACTCAAGACCTTTTATATTCTTTATTTATTTTATTATTAAATTAGTGTTTATACCGTTTATTATTTAATTTATATCTTTGCATTGAGCATTTCCACGCGTAACGTACGGACATTCGGACGCGTTTTATCATATAAATGTTTAAATTACTATTACTTATTTAAGTTTAACACAAAAACGCTTGACGCCATCTGAAAGAGCAGTAAATTTCCCATGAAATAGGCTTATGTGAGCAGTAAAAATACTTTTTCAAAAGAAAATGCAAGTACCAGTATAAAAAGCGTAACGTACGGACACCGAAGACACCCATTTTGTATCCCCTCTGTTAACGTTTGGGACTCTGCGAATTCAAATCAAATTTTCTTGCTTTATACGTGGTTTTGGATTGCCCAAAGAACTGAGATCACGATACTATTTGCGACTAAGGATTTGATTTTTTCGTTTCTTCATTATTTGCGGAAATTATCCAAAATAAAAACGTTACGTACGGACAAGGTCTCGTAACGTACGGACATACACATTTAATACACATTATAATCACGGTATTTAAAAACACAAAATCATATTCGTACCCGTTAGTTAGATTCAATTGTTGGGGAACATATGAAAAAGAAGAGAACACGTTTAAATAAATGTATTTTTTTACATTTTTTATTAATTACATGTTTTGAACGTTTAAACTAGTATTGCTGAATAATACTCATAATTAACGATACAAATTGTTACAACTTATCAATATGAATGTAAAAACGAAGCGATTTCTAAAATAAACTAAAATTACTGAAAACGAAAAAAAAAGTACACAAAATATGCATACACGCGAACTTCATTACTTCATGCGGACTGCGATGCGCCTGTCTTTATGCACATTAGATTCTTCGGCAACGCTGATCCAGTAAGGAGCGAGGGAAAACACAGCATGAATTCTGTGCGTTCTTGGGACTGTCGCAAGATCTTTCCAGTGTTCTTCGAGATCTGCGGAATTAACATCAATGTCTGCTTTGCTCAGAAACTCAACGTGAATCTTAGGGCATGCTTCTTGAGCTATAGATGTGAATTCTTCAGCAGTATTTACCACAGCTCCGCTTTTTGCTCGCCTCCACACCGAACCTTTTATTGTTCCTCCAATGGCATCAACCACCCCTTTTCCGTGACCTGATGCGAAAAAGTGCCAAGATAGCTTAATGCCGTAGCGCGCTTCAAAAACATGCAGGTTCGAAAAAAGGTACTTTTGCTTGAATTGGCTAGCGGCTCCGTCTGAAAATATTTTTACTTCAGCCACTTCATCGTAATTTTCGGTAATTAGTTCAAGTAGCCGTTCGATGAATTTATAAACGCTGATTTTTCCATGCGTCAATTCGTCCGAAACTAACGCGAAACTCTGCGCTTCCTTAGCGGACATCCAAGCATAGGCAGTAAAAACTGTGCATTGCTGGTGACACCAATGCGCACTTTGTATTTCATTTTGTTGTTTTAAAGCGTAATTCTCAGCAAAGTCAACTTGCAGTGCAATTTGTTTTCCATCGACGCTGGCAATGGTGTCTTCAAAAAATTTTGCTTGCGCTCGCTTTACATACGAGTGTTCCAGAAAATAACGTAGCTGATCCTTTAGATGTTGAAAACATTGTTGCAAATCCCAATCCATTATTTTTTTCTGAAGTGGTTGGCTTATCCATTGCTCGCAACTTGGTGAAATCACAGAAGCGTTAATAACGAAATTTCGGGGATTGAGTTCATCGATCTTGTCACGACACTGGTCGCATTTGTTGGTCATACAATCTTTTTTACTCTGATCGCAGGTGACAAGTGCGATAAATTCCTTGAAGGATCGTGGAACTTGAGTGTAAGGATGCATGGCATTCAAGATAAGGCGCACATTTTCGTGATATCGACAAACGCATACACCTTGAGGCAAGTCTCCAAAGATGCAGATTTCTTTGGGCTTCAACTCACAAAATAATGAGCGGCCAACGGGTTGATCTTTGTGCTCCTTCAGGTACATTTGGTGTGCCTCAACAAGAGACATTAACATATATCGTTTGGGGATGTACTGCTTTTGTATCCTTCCATTCTCATCGTGATGTCTCAAAATGAGTCTATCCTTCATATTTGGAGATTGCCACGAAATTTGATTAGAAAGATAAAATTGTTGCACATTTGCTTTTGTTTGTTCATTCGATCCTTTGCGAATTTTTTCTGAAAATGCTAGTGGAGATGTGACTAATCGGAGACCTTGTTCTTCAGCGAGGGCAGAGACAACAGCTTTTCTTTTTCTTGGGCTACTCGGTAAGGATCTTCTTGCCCTGTATAAAGCTTTTCCAAATGATTGACGGGACCGATATGAAGAAAGAGTAAGGCTTGAACAGCTTGAATTCATTGATGAATCAGATTGCGATAAAGCCTTTCTTGAAACTCTTTTTCTCTCAGCTTCTTTTTCGCGATGGTCTTTTAGTTTCCCTAAATCTGTAGCAAGTTTTTTTCTGAAGAGCCGAGACCGTTGAGCTTCTTTTTTCTTCTGCATTACATCAACCCCTTTTTTTTTCAGATTTTCCCGGTATCTTGCTTGGCGCTCTGCGGACGTCAAAGCAGAGGTTTTGGTTTTCGGTGCCATGTGATGGTGATTTTTATATGACAATTTTTGTCAAGTTTCAAAAATTTTGCTCAAATACAACTTGCAATTATTTACCAGTATTTCGTAACGAAGACTTAAAGTTGTATTTTCTTGGTCGCAGAACACTTTTTGAATTAACGATGAATGTTCGTTGGTATTCATAAAACAGCAATATCAATACGCGAATATTCACGTCCGTTTTGACAGCGATTGACTTTTTATGGTTATGCTGTATGTTGGAATATATGTGCGCATGTGCAAATAAACTGAGAACATGTGCAACATTAATTTTCGAAAAAAATGTCTTACAAATTATTTTATGTTCAAGAATGGTTTTATATTTAATGTTTACATATATATATATAAGAAATGTTATTAATAATTCTACATATTTATATTTATTACTTTGACAGTTGAGATAAGCAATGAATGTAAAACCTTAAATCCGTACATCACTAAGTTAGAACTCGGAAATAGTCGTTTTTTGCACCTCGGTTACATGAGAAAAATACAATGGTGTCCGTCCGTTACGCAAAAAAAATTAACTTACACTTGTTTTAAAAATATGAAAAAATTCCACGTTATAAAGTGCTAACTTTTGGCTTTGTATATGAAAATTGGAAGGTATTTGATAATTCTGTCACACAGTAGACGAACTTTTGTATGTTTTTCGTAACGTACGGACACGAAAAATTCAAAAAATTGAAAATGCTTTGCATTGATCAAATTTTCTTTAAGAAAAATTTTCTCAGCGTCGAAATACACTTAAAGATACCATGAATGAATTGCAATATTAAATCAGAGCTAACTATTTTGCCTCCAGGATTTCTGTTACTTGAAAACTCAAGAGAGATATATGCTCAATGAAAGGTCAGTGCGTCTGCCATGTCAATAAGCTGTTCATTCATGAATTATCAGTTATATATTAACATGTATTGTTGGAACACCACATTTAAACCTCCATTAATGTTATTCTAAACGAAATATGACATAATTCATTGATTGACATTTCGCTTTCTGTGTCCGCGTTTTCGTGGAAATGCTCCATTCTTACTTTTTTTCCAAATTTAATTTAAAAATATAAATATTAATATACAAAATAGATAAAGCCGGCCCTGTGGTGTATCGTATATACGGCCCTAATGGCAGGCGTGTAACGCACTATTGCGGTCGATAAAAAGTAATCGACTAATTTTCCCGTTGTAAATTTGGTTGTCACCAGTGGCATTTCAAAAATAATTTTATAAAATTAAGTCATCTTAAATTAAGTAAATCTTAAATTAAGTAAAGTAAATCTTAAATTAAGTAAAGTCTTTATTTAATGCCTTACCATACTTTAAGTGAAGCAGAGAAAGGCTATATTATCGCCAAAATTGGAGAAGGATGGTCTCAACAACAAATAGCAGATGAAATAAACTGCAGCAAAAGCGCTATTCAAAAATTAAACAAAAAGTGGGTGGAAACTGGTGACCTGAGTAGGGTAATGGGTTCTGGGTGTCCAAAAAAGACAACTCCAGTAAACGACAACGAGTTGGTTGAATATGTGAGGCAAAACCCATTTTCTAACTCCATTCAAGCCAAAGAGGAAAACAACTTCCCAGCATCTGTTAGGATGGCAAGAAAACGGTTGCGAGAACAAGGTAAACCTAAACTTATTTAACTGCGTGAGTGCTAAAAAGCTTCGCTTGACGGATGTTAATAAAGAGGCAAGAGTGGAGTTTGCAAATAATTTTTTAAATCAAAAAGCTGAATATTGAGAGCGAGTAGTCTTTTCAGATGAAAAAATATTTCAATCCTGCTACAATGGGCAACTGCGAGTTTATCGTCCCAGAAACCATAAGTTTGATGAAGAATACCTCCACAAAACTGACAACAGCGGAAGATTTTCTGTCCACGTGTGGGCGTGGATATCATCTTCAGGGGCTGGTATAATTCATATTGTAGAAGGCCGATTAACTGGGAACCGATACGTGGAAATTTTAAACGATGTAATGCTCCCGTCAGTGCAAGAAAGATTTGATAATGATTTTGTGTTTCAACAAGTAACACTTTATGATTTATCTTTCCTGATCAAAAAAATATATTTTTTTCATTTTAAGTATAACTCGCCAGTTCACACTCCTCATGTGGTTCATAATTGGCTAGAAGAAAATCACATTACAACGCTTCCTTGGCCGTCAAGAAGCCCCGATTTAAACCCAATCGAAAATATTTGGGGATATCTCGTAAAAAATATATATAAATATGAATTTAGACCAAGAAATAGAGAAGACCTTATTAATGAAATTCAAAATGAGTGGAACAATTTGAAAGAAAATTACGATATGCAAAATTTAATTAGTTCCATGCCTAGGAGATTACAAAATTTTATAGAGAAGAATGGTGGTTCTACCAAGTATTAATTATTTTTTTTTAAATGGAGTTTTTATAGCATTACAAATGTGTAAGATTATGTAAGATAATGCCTGAGGGAGGGCTGAATGAAAAAATTGCCAGGGCCGGTTTTTCCCTGGTTTGGTCTAGGGGTTTTTCTGAGCCCATCCAACCCTGGTTGGCTCATCTTTTATAATTGTTATAGTCGTAGTATACTATTTATTTTTAAGTTTAAATTTATTTATTTTGGTCGCCCAATAAATAATTTGTTCTTTTTGTTTGTATTACGAATAAACATGCTTTATATAATTATATAATTATATAATATAATAATAATATATAATTATATAATTTAAGTTTTTTTTATTATAAAATTAAATATGTCATACACCTATGATTTCTTGTCAAAATAATTTAATTGACATGACTGACGTAAAAAACCCTACTTACAATAGCCAATTTTTAAGAAAAACATGCAACTTGATAAAGAATCGATTACTTTTTATCGGCCGCAATAGTACCTATGCTTTAATAGATGTTTTGTTTACATTAGATTTTAACGTGGTTGTTTTGTTTATTAGGAGACTGTTTATTTACTTTCGTTATCTTTTAAAGCTTTGATTTGTGGCTGGGCTGTAAGTTTATGCGTATATTATATAATATATATATATATAATACAATAATATAATATTGTGACGTTCTTACTTGATTTGGTTTTTTTTTACACTCCTACGCTGTTTTCGGTAATGATTAATTGTTGCCAGGTTTTTGTTACAGATTTGCGTATTACGTCATGCAATTATACTGATCAGAATCTGCAGGTGATGATCCCTTTCACTCTTGGTTAGACTCGTTTTTTCTTTATATAGGTGATTCCTTGGCCTGTCCCCTGTCACTTTATTACTTCCGTGTCCGCACGGACCTCACCCCTGTGTTCAACGTTGAGAGATTGCCTTTTGAGGAATTATTTAATGTTTCTATTAACCCTTTGGAGGACAGGTACCCTGTTTTCACCTGTACAGGTATGTAGTATTTATGTTTCTTTAAGAATTTTATTGTGGATAGGAACTAAGAGCGCTCGAACTACACATCCACTCTCTTCCCCATTTGATTCCACAGAGTATATAGAGAAAATAGGTCTTGATTCTTCTGGACTCTTACTGACCAGCTACGAGTGGTCTATTGTTTCTTTTTTTAAGTCTTTGTAAGTCGATAAGGTGAGATAAAATAAACAGAGGTTGGTCACCCCAGGAGGATCCCAGAATGTTAAACATATCATATTTTTATGTTAGATTCCTTAATAAATTTAAATATATACTTAGCTAACGGTTTCTAAAAGCGGACATGCTAGTATTGATTTAATGTTAAAAGGCATATGGTGTGACACCATTGGTGTCCTATGTACAAGCGATTAATTAGGAGGCTATAGCCTATTAGCACTATAATAGTGCTAATTAACCCTTTATCTTACTTTGGTACACATATGTACCACTTGCCATAAAGTCGAAATTTAATAAGGTTTAAGGAGAATTTCAGCCTTAATAATTAATAAATTTTTCACAATTGTACATAATGGGTCATATTTAACTAGTACATAATGGGTCATATTTAACTCCTATTCTACAGAGGTGCGCTGGGCAGGAACAATGATCCATTCTAAGTCTGCTTATTGTTGTTATTAGGGTTGGGATTTTGACCGGTCAAAATCTTTTGTGGTCAATTGACTAAGCACCGGTCAAATTCCTTAGTTTTTTCTAAAGAAATGAAGGCATGAGTAAAATTACTTAATTTTAAATAGAAACGTATATTTATTGAAAAACAGCTAACAAAAAATAAAGAAACCATTCTGAGGTACAAAAAAAACATTCATAATAACATTGTTTTTAAGAACATTCACGTCTAGCTCGCAGCAGAGCAGCAACAGCAGCAACAGCAGCCTAGCAGATAAGACCTGAAGATGGAACATGAGATTGTACCGAAACCTCGTCAGACATACGGTTCTTTTAAGAACCAAAAACCGAAAACACAGTGCTAGCATGTGTAGATAACGGCACAAATTAATTAGTCAAAAATGACCCAGAACACTATTTAAAAAGCATTATTATGATTGCATCATGGTCCACTACCAAACATTTTTTAAATATTTTTGATATTTTCCGCTAGGTAGCGCCGCCGCCGCGCGCGGTTGAATTAAAGGTTTTTGACCGATTTTGACATGGTCAAAATCTCTCCTGTCAAAATAGGTAAAAATCTCGGTCAATTGACCAGGCACAACCCTAGTTGTTATACATTCTCTGTTTATAAAATTTATGTTATAAAACCATACATTTTCCAGGATTTATTTTTTCCCTTGTACACAAAATTTATTCCAACTAATTATACAATATATTTTTTGATATGAGTATTAGTATGGGTATGGGGACGTATGGCAGGCCCCATCAACATCGCCTTACACTGATCTACCAGGGTTATTTTACCTCCTTTCCGTTCTCCTACGTATCCCGCAACTGCACCGCATTACATGTGTTTGTTGGATCTTCCCTATGAGGTCGTGGATGACAATATCGATGGGTAAGGCCATTCCCGGAATTTTGTCGCCGGGTCGGCCCATATGCCCAATTTAGGCC